CACGATTCGTGTTGCTGAGCGTGGAAGTTCGTTATAAACGGAAAGTGAATATACAACTATCCTAAAAAGTGATCGTTATATCCGGAAGTTCGTTAAAGACGGATTCGTTATAACCAGTAAAAAAATACGTTGGTCTTTATGGATGACGTTTCAATTAATGGGAAAAAGTTCGTTTTAACCGAAAGTTTACTATAACCGGGTTCACTATAAGCGGACTTTACTGTATTTAAAAAAAAATTATAAATAAAAATGTTTAATAAAAAATGATAAGTGAAACATAAGAGGCTATTGGAAACGCCATATTACGAAATAAAAAAAATGAATCTCCTAATTTTGCTTTAAAGTTGATTTTTTCTTAATTATTCTCTTAAATTCAAGCTACAATGTAAATACGTATTTGACGAAGTTTTTTATATGTAGATGGGGCGGTTGCAAATCACACTCACTGCAGGTGTATTGACTTTTGCATCGAAGTAAAGATAATTTCCGGAAAATTATAGACCTTAAAGGAGATTTCTTAAAACAAATTGTGGTTCCTCTCTACTCGCTAGCCTTTTGTAGTCCGATATATTAATATTTTCTTTCCAGACTTAATTTTTTTGCAGATAAACAAAAAAATTAAAAAAATTCGTAGATAATTTAAAAAAATTCCTTTTTTCTTTTGCCTGAGAAATCCCTGGAACTAGGAAAAAATTCCCTAGTATGACATCACTGCATAGAAGTACTCCATTAGAAGTAGGTGATTTTGACTTGCAGGCGGCCGTGGGCGACTTTTGGGCGACTAGCAATCAGGAAAAACTGGCAACTCTGTTCCTGAACGGTGCACGGATTTAGTTGGATGAGTCATATTTCCCTCGTCTGTAGCGTGTTGCTCATCTGGGTCAAAATTTTACTACACCCCAATTAGAATCGGTATTTTTAGAATTAAATGCCCGTGAGGCGGCAGTTGTCCCATGGATTTACCAGGAAAGCTGGGGTCGATTTGTTGCACGTGGTTATCTAATATCTCAAGCTCAACATTCGTATTTATTTTCGTCTTGATATGATGTAATAATGATCCTGCAAACGTACAATTTACGTTTTGTGCACTGATGTTCTAAAGCTTACTCATCTAAGGGAACAGGTACCACCCCATTAAGCAAACAAGGGATTGTTTGTGCGATTCAAGGTTGTTTATACCTACGTTTTGAGTCACAACATCCACTCACATGACTAATACCTGAACAACGTTTCGAATAAAATCCAACAATGATCAGTACTGAATATGAATTAACGCAATATAAGTTAGCGGAGAAAACTTGAAAAAGAAAATTCCGTCCACACAATACTAAACATTTTTTTACAAGCTTCTTGCTGGGTATTTCGCGTCAAAAATTTTTGTCTTTAAAAAAGACAGAATTGCCTCACGTCTTTTATTACAAATTGATAAATAGTGCTCCTATTTCGCAATAAGAACGAATTATTTATCAAAAAGTAATCAAGAACTATCACCTAGAGGGTATCCTGCGACACACTTAGGCTCAAGCTGTAAGAGAAAATTCCAATTAGTAAAGAAATTAATTTGGAAAAATTACCTTGACGTTTCGATAGCTATTTTCTGCTATCGTTATCAAAAGAACCTAAATGAACCTAAAAAAGAGTATGTTAATAAATTCTGTAACAATAGTAGAATAATACAGTACATGAAAATTCGCTCTGATAATTCGTATGTGCAAATTGTCAGTTATGTGACTTTGACTTAATCTCATTGTGTAAATTAATAAAGGTAATGTTAATTAATAATTTTTATTTATGGAAAATTTTGAATCAACTTTCATTAATAATTACAAATTTAAACCAATAATTTGGTGGCGTTATATTGATGACGTATTCTCCATTT